CTTGTTTTGTAGAGACTTGCAAACATGGGCTCCAACTTGGGCCCGAGTCTTATTTCTTTCTTTAACTTATTGGCCAGCTCTAATAAATTAATGACTTAAATACTAGCCAACACATTGATTTGTTTCGTATTTTTTTATGTTGAAACTAATTTTTTAGTTAAACTCTTATAAAGGCAATTCTTTTTCTCTTTTTCTTCTTATTATTATTCGATAAATTGTTAAAATACTATTATAAAATTTAATCATTCTTCAAAAAAATTGTAACATTTTACTTACAGATTGCCCATAGCTCAGTTACAAAGGTGCGCATCTCAAACATTTTAATTCTTATTCTTATTCTTATTTAGTTTTAAATTTCGACGTTTTTCTAAATTAACGGGAAATTAGAAAATTATAATAGAATTTGTTTTTTTTTTTATATTTAAAGCTACTTGAGAAATATGGAAAGTTGCAGTTTTGGCACAGCAGGCCTAATGGCCATGGATAACAGAGCACAGCCCATTTAAACATTGAAGTCGATCTGAGGGCTAAAAAGTCCAGACCACTCAAGCAATTTCTGGAACATTCGCGAATTACAAGACTGAAGACAAAAAGATTTCTTGAAGCCCAAAACACAAGTAGTGGAAAGTACTAGATTCCTCTTTAGCTTCCTATAAATAGCAAACATGTCCTACTTTGTCAGCAGCAACCAAAAGGCAACTCAGTTGGATAAGAATCTTATCAGCACCTAAAGCCTTCCCATTACGTTCAAAGAAAAGAAAAGAAAATGGCGATGATTCCAAGTTTCTTTGGCAAACAAAGGGGCAGCATCTTCGATCCTTTCTCTCTTGACCCTTGGGATCCTTTCAAGGACTTCCCTTTCTCTTCTTCACTCACCACACATGCCCCTGAAACCTCTGCTTTTGCCAATACACGTATCGACTGGAAGGAAACTCCGGAAGCCCACGTCTTCAAGGCTGACCTTCCAGGGCACAAGAAAGAAGAAGTGAAAGTCGAGATTGAGGATGACAGGGTGCTCCAAATCAGCGGAGAGAGGAACGTTGAGAAGGAGGACAAGAATGATACCTGGCACAGGGTTGAGCGTAGCTGTGGCAAGTTCTCGAGGAGGTTCAGGTTACCGGAGAATGTGAAGATGGACCAGGTTAAGGCTTCCATGGAAAATGGGGTTCTTACTGTTACTGTTCCTAAAGCGGAATTGAAGAAACCTGAGGTCAGAGCCATTGAGATTTCTGGTTAAAATCTTAAAACAGTTTTGGTGTACGCAACTATGTTGTATCGTATACATCGTTCTGATGTATAATACTGTAATCTACTAAACTAAAATTTTCTTTACTTGAATGTACTTGCCATTTCGTTTGCTTTTCTCTAATTTTTTTTTTCTGCTTCAAAGAGTTAAGACCTGACGATTCGTCCCAACCTTAAAAAACATTTTAAAGATTTTTTAAAGATTAGATTGGGAATTGACTTTCAAGTCATGAACAAGGAGCACAAAGAATGGAAAAGAAAGAAAAACAGGCCAATTAGTGTCAATTAATTTATGTTAAAAGCTGAGATTTTGTGCCTTGGGTTTTTTCTCCTTTTGTTAGTCTTTTGATGTATTTTTCAGTATTGTTTTAAAAACATTAATTTTGTGTTAGTTTTATCAAATATGATCATGAAATTGTGCTTACAGTTTTAAGTTTTTTGTTTTTGCATACTGGAATAATATCAGAATAACGAAATAATAACAACTAACACAGTACCAAAACCGATGTTATAATAAACAAAAAAACAAAAAAGATATTATGCTTGAAATTTTTTTTGGAGTATTTAAAAAAATTTTACTTGTTATATTATGTTAATTTAAATAAATGTTGTTATGAATTCTCTCTTGAGTATTGGATGATAATCTTAGTTTAAAACTATTATTAACTTTGATGTTTCTGAAATTCTCATCCAAAATATTCACCACATACCATAAAAGACTAAGAACTTAATTATACCATATGACAGTTGTCATATATAAATCATACAGCAACATACTTGATAGCTTAACACAAGAAAGCAAGCATTGCTAACTAAGAAAATTAAACTTCCACCAAATTGCTGACTAACTGCGCTGTACATATGGAACACTTATTTAGCAGCCAAGCTAGTTTTATTTAAGAGTAGATTGTACGTCCACTTTTATCCAATTATGGATGTTTTTCTGAAACTTTGATGAAGAAACCATTTGTAAATTCCAAAATTGGCGTACGCGCCACGTCTCCTCCCCTGATCTTGGTTAACCTATATTAAAACATTATATATATGAAAAAAAGAGTATATTAGATATACTTATTATAGTCATATATAATTAAAATTATAAAAGTATTATAATATTGTTTTGAGTATGATCACAATAACCGACAAATTTAGATACTAAGTAATGAAGAATATCTTTCTTTGTTCTTTTGCAAAAAAAAAATAAAAATCAAGAATACATATATATTGATTAATCACTTGGTACAATTTTAATTTGACTACATGCATTAAATGGCAGATTATAGATATTTTATCAAAAATGAAAAATTAATTAGTCTGTAAATTCATAGCACCTATAGTATATAATAAATAAGTATATGATTGATAAACTAGTAGAAAAGTAAATAATCGTAAAAGTAAAAATTTAATAGTAATATAATAAAGATATAAACCTGTATTTGGTAACCCAAACATGTAAAATGACTGCCATCAGAACCTTGCTGAACTCTGCTCCTGCGCATGTCCTGTTCCCTCCGCCAAATGGTATGAAGTTCTTCGCCGTTGAAATGCTTTCCATGTTCTTTAATTATAAGATTTGCAGATTATGAGAAAAGAGAAATATTGCCTTATTACAATTACTAGAACTTATAAAAGTCTCAATCAACTATAGAAATACTTTAATTTTCTGCTATATTTGTGTTTATATGTGTTAATTAAAGTTCTGTTTATCTGCAGAATAATGGTTTTTATTTTAAATTTTTATTAAAATGAAATTTTAAATAAAAAATAAAATATCAATTAATGAATTGATTACAAATTTAATTAAGTAAGAAAAGCTTGGAAGAAGATGTAATATTAACATATATATATATATATTATCACTTTCAAAATATATATATATATTTATGTTATCTACCTTCCATCTTGAAGGATTGAAGGTAAGAGGATCTTCATATGTATTAGGGTTAAGTTGAAGCGCTGCGGGTACAACCAAAAGATTCCAACCTTTTGGTATAGTATAGCCTGCAATAAAAGAAACATTCCATCCATAAAATTTTATGTTTGCGATACATTTAACCATACAAAATAAATATATCAATTTAATTATAAAAAAATGATTATACCATTAATATGAATATCAGTTAGAACCCTTCTCAAGATTCCAGGAGCAACACTTCCTAATCGAAGTACTTCGTTAATGACCTAATAACCAAAAATATTCAATGTGACTTCCATAGAAAGATTTCAAAAAGGTATGAACTTTCTTTTCTCGGAAAAAGTTGCCAAAATTGGCAAATCACTCACGTAATGAGTAAAAGTCATAGACTTGTATTCCTCCCATGAAAGTCCAAGATTGGTGCTTTCTCTTTTCTTTAGAATTTCCTCGTGCTCCTCCTAATCAAATCATACCAAAAAAAAATAAAATTAAGGTTTTCTGCATAAAACGATGAAACTTTTTGCAATATAAAAATTAATCATAAGATTATCTTATTCTGGGTAATTAATCACTGACAGTTAATTGTTGCAATGCTGAT